GTTGCCTCACTCACTCGCTGGACCTGCGCTCTCAAAAATCTTACTCTTTAAAGCATTACATATCCTGCCCTTTTTAAATGAAAAATATCCATAATCATGCTATTTCTGCCTTTTGTATTTTAAAATGTATGTCCCTTAGTATAATAATTATCTCTCTTTTTTTGGGTATTTTAGGGAAGGGTCTACAGGGTGTTCAGTGTCTCATTACTAGATTGGACTTGTAGTGATTCGCCTGTTTATAGCCTCCCAAGAGCTGGGATCACAGGTGTGCACCACTGCACCCAGTCTCAATACACCCAGGGGGCGGGGCTGGCCCGACAGGCCCTGGGATTGAAATCTCTGGCCTCGGTGCTTGTTTGCAGGTGCTTAAATCTGTTGAGCTATTTGGCTGGACCAATAATTATCTCCCAATGCAAGATTATAAGCCTTTTGAAAAGAGAGATTTGTATTCATACTTTTAAATCTTTTTAATACTGGTTTATAATGCATTAGATGAATTATATGGCATTCATTGTTGCTGGAGAATATGTAACATTTTTGTGTGTGAGAATATTAATTGGCTGATTATTGATCCTAAGATATGGAAAAAAATTAGTTATATAAGCTTAAGTTTAAAAAAGTTTGCCATAAATTGTGTCACTATAGTTTTAATAATGTTTCTGTTGATACTGAGTTTACTTTCTAATTCATACCAGAATACTTGTATGAAATTACTCCTTTTTAACTGACTTGTATTCTCTTTGAATCTTTTGATTCAAACATGGAAAAATTTTAAATTATTTGAAAAATTAGGCCTATGAATTAGATGATAATTCAAAATGTATCTTGCAGTATCTTGCTTTATTTTTTTTTTAATAATTTTTTTTGGTACAGGGTCTTGCTATGCAACAGGATCATCATAATGATCCTGCTGTCTCAGTCTCCCCAATGCTGCGATTATAGACATGTGCCACCATACCTGGTTTCAGTGCCCTGCATGACATGTTGTACTGGGGATTGAATCCCGGTCTTTGCGCTTGCCAGGCAGATGCTTAGACTGCCAAGCTATCTTCCCAACCCTCTTGCTTTATTTATTTATATATATATATATATATATATATATATATATATATATTTATTATTTTTTAAAAAATATTGAGGGTTGAACTCATAACCATGGGCTTGCAAGACAGGTGTATATGCCGCTGAGCTGTTCCTCCAGCCAATATTTCTTAATTTTAGGAAGATAATGTAGTTTAATTTCCATAATAAATCAGATTTATTTTATCCTAAGAAAATTGCTGGGCAGAGTATGAAGATGTGCTGAAAGAGGAGATTTGGAATGGTGTGTTCATCTGTGTTGAGTGCCTCTGAAATGGTCAGAGAAGTTAAAGCTGAGTCATGTTAGTGTGTAGCAGAGGCCAAGTGAGGCAATGAATAGAAATAATGAGGTGAAGATAATGAATTTAGTATTTCAGTAAGCTTAATTGTAGGGAGAAGGAAAACATGTTTAATATAACATGATTTATTTAACATGTTCTTGCTAGTTTCAACACCAGTGGTTTTGAGGTGCCTGGCAGCAAGATGAATGAATTGCGATGCTATCATGATCATGTTACGATGAGAGAAACACAGGAATATTTTGATAGAAAGTTCTCAGGTTCAGCTGATGAGAGATAGGAAATAAATGCAATAAGGTTCCTGTGTCAGCTGGAGCTGCTGGTGTGTAGTGTACCCATGGGGGGATTACTTCGTGTCTGAAGGCCTTGTGTCCCATGCTGAGGAGGGAAGTGTGCAAGGGAGGCCAAAGGAAGTATTTCACAGTAGCATCCTGGTGCTAGTAATACACTTACTGGCCTGAAACTGTGTTAAAAAATATTTGCCTACTATATCATTAATATGATATAGGAAAATATTTAAAATAGATGATTATAGAAGTCAACTAGGATATCTGATTAAAGTGCAGATTCTAAGGCCTTTTCTTTGGAGAGTCTGATTTAGGTTTTCTGAAATACATAATTCATGGAAAAGGCATTCTAGGCAAAAAAAAAATAGCATTTAAAAAAATGGAGTTGTTAAAAAGTAAGAAAATTTGGGCAATAGAATGTCATCCTCTTGAAACAGTGATGTTAATGGCAAATAATGAAGTAAGGTCAAGTATAGCACGTTTTGCAGTACCTGATACACAGTAAATAGTACATTTTAGTTATTCTTATATTTTTCTAAATATTATATACTGTAATAACTGGTTAGTTTACTTATTTTGGAATAAATTGAATTTTGAGACTACACATGTGCAAGAAGCTATAATTTGTGCTTTTATTTTCACAGGATTTTCTCTCTCCTCTCAGCAATATTGCATTTGGGTAATATCTGTTATAAAAAGAAGACATACCGGGATGACTCCATTGATATCTGTAATCCTGAAGTTCTACCTGTTGTCTCAGAATTGCTAGAAGTGAGTGATTATGCATATAGTTGTCATTTCGAATAATCAATGACGTCTTAGTTTTTCTTTCTACTGATAATGTTATTACATACAGTTTTTTAAAAGTGTTTTCAAAAGAGGAATTTCTTCTGAAATCTCTCCTACATTGTGTATGCCAGTACAAATCTTTAATTTGGGTTTTGTACCCTACCTCCCAGTTGTTATTACATTCATAATTCCTGATATAGTGGATAGGGTGACTATTTCCATTGTGGTGTGTGTAATGTTTTGGGCCTATGCTAGTTTTGTTTGCTCCATGTTTAAGATTTTTTTTTTTTTTCATAGTAAGATTATTTTACTTGAAGATGGGTGGGTGAAGAGAAAGCCTACTGCTTTTAAAAAATTTAAATTAGTATGTGTTTGCAATACATAGTGATACGTTCATCTAGTTTGGTACACATATGTGATACATCTTAATTATTTTTGACACCACTTCTAATGATGGGTTAAATATGACCAAAGGGTTCTCATCTCTCACCATAGTTAATCGTACATCAAAATCTTTGTTACTTTACTCTCTTGCTGCAGTGATGATTTGTCATGTTTTCGGGGCTAACTTACCGTGTTGCCATGTTTACCTCATCAGATGGGTTGTTGTTTCTTATAGGCCCTCTAACATGACAGATCAAGGAAAAATACACGTATAACCTGTGTGTAAATATGTATCTATAAATTTCTTTTTATTTGTTTGTTTTGTTTTTTTGAGACAGGGCCTCCCTCTAGTTCACATTGGCCTTGAACAAATGGTGAGCCTCCTGCCTCAGCCTCCCAAATGCTGGGATTACAGGAGTGTGCCACTACACCTGATCATAAATATTTCTGTATGTAATTATTTATACAAAAACATGAATTTGATGTTTCTATATTTTAAAAATTTATTGGTACATGTTTGCAGTACGTTCTTCATAGGGAGATGGAACATTTCCACAATACAACTTAATTTGTTTTAGTTTCTCTCTTATTCTCTATCCCTTTTTTTTTTTTTTTTTTTTTTGAGTCAGGGTCTTGCCATGTGCTTTAGGCTGGCCTTGAACTCACTATGTAGTTCAGGCTGGCCTTATACTCATAATGGATCCTTCTGCCTTCTTCCAAGTTCTAGAACTACAGGCATGCTCCACCATGCCCAATCACTCTCCCTCTCTAGATTCTTCTCCCATTTGCTGAAGATGTAGCTCTTTGGTTTCTGTTATCTATTCTTTATTTTGCTCTTTAAATTGTTTTTTGTTTTTTTTTTACCTTGGGTTTCTCACATAAAAAATCATTTAAGCTTATGTATCTAGTTTATTTCACTTAACATTATGGTCTTAAAGATACATCCATCTTCCTACAAATGACTCGAAGTTATAGAGTTCAATCCCTCGTACCGCAGAAAGAAAAAAAATGACAAGGTTATTCTTTATGGCAGAGTAATGTTCCATTGGAGACAAATACACATTTTCTTTATCTATTATCTGCATATGGACGTAGAGGTCAGTTCCAAGATTTAGCTGTTATGAGTGGTGCAGCTCTAAGCGCAGGTGTGATATATCACTGTGACATGATGCCTTTCAGGAAGATAGCTTGCAGGGGAATAGCTGGGTCAAATGGAATTTTTTTTTTTTTTTCGGTACCAGAGATCAAACTCAAGAGCTTGCACTTGCCTGCCAAGAAAGCACTTGTTCCACTGAGCTATCTCCCTGACCCTCAAATGGAAGTTTTATTTTCAGTTTTTTGATGGCTCTCCATCCATCATGGCTGTACTAGTTTTCATTCCCAACAATGTAGAAGTGTTCCTTTTTACTCCTGCAGCCTCACTAGTGTTTTCTTTCCATTCTTTTTTTGTAATTCCTATTTTCCCCCTTTCCTTCCTCCACTCCTTTCTGCCTTCCTTGATCTCCTTTCCATTTGAACATTTTCTCCTTACTTTCTTATATTGTCATCCATTTTGGTCCTTATTTACCCTTTGGGTTTTTCACAGAAGATAAACTGTGATATTTAAATGTATGTTCAGGGGCTAGGGAGATGGCTCAGTGGAATAAACGCTTCCCTGGTAAGTGCAAGGGCCTGAGTTCAATCCCCAGTTCTGCAAAAAAAAAAAAAAAAATCTTAAATGTATGTTCAATTTATTTCACTTAAGATTATGTTTTTTTTTTTCCATGATTTTATTGAGAAACAAATAGCATTGAGACAGTTTCAAACCAAATAGGTAGGACAGTTTCAATAATTAACACATTGCATACATTCTTCCT